TAGTAGAGAGAGAGAGAGAGAGAGAGAGAGAGAGGATTTCTTTTTAGAGAGGAAGCACATAGGTATTTCTCTTCTTTTTTTTGATAAACCACTCTTTCTAGGAGAGAGATAGAGACAGTAAGAGAGAGAGAGAGAGTGACCTTTCTCGGAAGAAGAAATCATAAAGGCAATCGATGAATTAACCAAAGACAAAGCCCCCGGTCCAGATGGGCTCCCCAAAGTACTGTTTAAAACTTTATAGGAAACTTTCTGTCAAGACTTCTTAAGTTTTTTTGATGAATTCTTCCACAGGGGAATCCTCCACAAAGCCATGAACGCTACTTTCATAGCCTTAGTCCCCAAGGTTGAAGGGGCACATGAACTAAAAGATTTTCATCCAATTAGCCTCCTCAATTCCTCATACAAAATTCTGGCCAAGGTTCTGGACTCAAGGCTATAACATGTTCTTTCTTCAATCATCTCACCGTCACAGACGACTTTCATCAAAGATAGGCAAATCCTAGATGGAGCCTTAGTAGCACACAAGTGCATCCACTCAAGGCACTTGTCCAAGAAGCCTAGTCTTATCTTCAAGATAAACTGGGAGAAAGCATATGATCATGTTGATTAGTCGATCCCGGAAGAATCAATGGCTAGAATGGGGTTCGGGGATCAATGGAGAAAATGGATGAGAGGTTGTTACTCTCATTCTCATTTCTCAATTCTCATCAATGGAACCCCTAAAGGTTTTTTCCCCTCCTCGAGGGCACTGCGCCAAGGGGATCCACTCTCCCCTTTCTTGTTTGCCATTGCACCAGAAGTCTTCAGTCGCTCTATATCTCGTTTGTACCACAAGATTCAAGAGCAGCCACCAAGGCCCAATAGTATCCCACCTGCAATATACATATGGCACTTTGGTGTTCTTTGATGCCTCCTCAGAAGAAATTGAGAACCTGAGAATTTATCTCAAATGCTTCCAAGTGGTCACAGGCTTCAAAGTTAACATGGAAAAGTCAAAGATGATAGGAGTAGCACTCACGAATGCAGAAATCAGATCGTTAATCCCTAATCGAGAATGTATAATAGAGGAACTTCCCATAACTTACTTACCTAGGCTTCTCCTTGGGGTTGGGGAAAGCAAAAAAGAGACAGTGGTCCCACATGATTGATAAGATGGACAGGCGTCTGGCAAGGTGGAAAGGGAGATACCTTTCCTGGCTGGTCGTATCGCTTTGATAAAAGCAACCTCTCCAAATGCTCCTATCTACCTCATGTCTCTCTTCCACATGCCAACTTCGGTGGCCTACCGCCTAGAACAATTAATGAGGAATTTCCTCCAGTTAAGACAGGTCGAGAGAACCAAATACCACCTAATACCGTAGGATAAGATCTGCTTACCCAAACATCTGGGAGGGTTAGGGATCAGGACCCTCAAAAAACATAACCTAGCCCTCCTTGAGAAATGGTGGTAGCACCTAGCCACGCAAACAGACTCCCTCTGGGCTCAAGTAATATGTAGCAAATATAGGATTTTTGAAGAAGTCCGAATGCTTGAGAGGAGGCAGCATAGTAGAGCTTTAGGAGTGTAGAAGTCTTCGCCTCCTCTCTCTCACATTTCAAAAAATTCACACGATTCTAGCCTAGAGAAGGAACACGAGTGAGGTTCTAGTCAAATATCTGTCTAGGACACCCCCCCCTTAGGGAACTCTTTCCCTCCCTTTACTCTCTTGCCTCAAACAAAGACTACCATTGCAGATGAAATGGTACAATTAGGAGGTTGAAGAGTCTGCAACCCCTCATTCAGAAGAAACCTCTCAGACAAGGAAACTAGCGTTTTTCAGTCACTCTCTGCAGTTTTACATTCCACCATCTCTTCTGAAGGAAGGGACTCCATGGTTTGGATGCTAACCCCCTGTGGTGCATTCACAGTGGCCTCGTTTTACCACTTACCCCCTAAATCCTACCTCTGTCCTTTCCATGGTCTGGTCCACAATAGCCCTTCCCAAAGTTCAGACTTCCAACTGGATTGCTTGTTCGCAATGTGCACTCACAGTGGACCAGTTTCAGAAGAGAGGGAATCGAATTCGCATCTCTTCATCCACTGCGAGGTAGCCTACAACCTTGGGAGTCAATTGTTACAGCTGTTTCGTCTCCAGTGGGTTACTCCACCGATGGTCAAGGCCCTAATTATCATGGAACAAGCGTCACTTTGGCAGAAGGCCGGAAGTGTCTTATGGAAGGCAGCCATTGCGGCGTCCGTATGGGTGATCTGGGTAGAAAGGAATACCAGAATATTCCAAGGATACAAGCTCCAGGTACGAACCCTATTCCACAAGGTCACTACTCTAGTAACATTCTGAGCCCAACCACAGGGTGTTCTTAGGCCTTCCAACGAATACTTTTCTCAGCCAATGGGAAAACATACTCTACCACAATCCACGAAAGGTGCAAAGACCAAACAATTAGCTGCCACCTCCAGAAGGCACAATCAAGCTCAACTTCGATGGTTGTTCCCTGAGGAACCCCCGCCCTACAGGAGCTGGTGGCATCTTTAGAGACCACCATCGCAACATCCTCTTTACCTACTCTGAATATCTAGGCCATAGAGATTCTCAATATGCTGAAGCTATGTCCCTGCTGATAGGACTCAAAAGCTTCAATCACTCCTGAGGCTTAAACCTGTTAGTGGAAGGACACGCACATAACATTTTAGCCTGGGCAACTGGGACGACACCACCCCCATGGTACCTAGCTTCGATCTTTGATGAAATTGCCTACATCTACAGGGATACGCACGTCTCATGGAAGCATATATGGAGGACATGCAACGAGTTCGCCGATCTTCTGGCAAAAAATGGGGCTAGAAGCCAGGAGAAGATAGCGCCTGGTTCTCCTTTTTTGATCAGGACCACAGAAAACACACTACATACAACATCCCATTGTATTCGGGCATCTTTATAAGCCCTTATTAATTTTGTGAACTTACTGTAAATCCTTTGTAATTGGGCAGGTTTATAAGCCTACATTTTGTATAGGGTCTACTAACCATTTTTGTACTGAGAGACCCGCCTAGAGGGCTCTCTCGGACTACCACAATTTTTACCCCAACTTCTCTAATGCTATTCAAATGTTAACCTTTCAAAAAAAAAAAATGTCTTCCCTTTAGCACTCATTTTTTTCTTTTCAAAGTGATGAGGTCAGATTTGAAGCAGTAGACACATCAATTGAATTTAAGATCCATATAATAACATTTTCAATCATATGTTCTAGCTACAAGTGGTCTAAGAAGAGTGAGGACCTTAAACTTTCTCTTTACCCGTCTTAAGCCCTAATATAGGAGGTGGGTTGTGTTAACTAGTCAACCAATGTAAACTTTTACCAAAACTTTCCATGAATCCTGAATCGACATTATTTGTTTATGCTGAGCGTTTCCCGTAAGAGACGTGATATACCGGAACCCCGGTACAATTAAAAACGAGCAAGGGTTAGCTAGATATTGGGACTTATTACCTCAATGAGGGTATGGCCTTTGATAGAGTAGAATGACTGACCAGGATTTGAGTAGCCGACCCCAAATAGTTGGAAAAAAGCTTTGATAATGATGATGATTGTTCTAACTACAAGTTCAGAGATAACACCACTGACATGTCATTAAAGACCTTATTTTTAGTTGTTTTTGGCAATGACATGCCCAGAGCATAGTTTCTGCCCCCACTATCTTACTGAGAGTATGAGAAAAGAAAAACATCAAGGCAGATCTTAGGTCAAAAGAAAATGCTACAGTTCATGTAACTCTAAAGGTCTCACCAGTTTTCAAGAAACTTAAAACTGACATCTAAGATTGTAATGAACTTTTCCAAGTGTAAGTTTAATGGAAATTAAACAACTTACTCATTTAAGTCCTAAATTAAGAAAAATTTCTAATCAGGCAGTAAAAAAGTGAACGATGATAATGATCCGTTAACTACAGAAAAGGTCTGCCAAAGAAAGTAACTACCTGATTCTGGAGGTAGGATGAAATTTTTGCAAAACCAGCTTCAACCTTATTACACGTGACGTTCGTGCAGCATAAAATCATCTGGGTGGAGAACTTTATCGTTGTTCTAGCTTTAATATAATAGATTAAATTCTACTCCACAAGCTTAACTATTCCCAAATCCCCTCAATATGACTCTGACACTACATCAAATTAAATAAGGAAAAGATTCATATATAGTCGAGGCCCTAAGCAATCAAACTAAGACGCACGTCAAAAATTCACTAGAAGAAGCCTCAAATCTAATCATCCCGACCTTGAGATATATGGATGTAAAAAAAAGGACTTCAAGGCTTGCTAATAGTGCATCTTGTAATGCATTGTCTAGATCGCCAATTTTCAAGATTTTCAAGTGTTCATAGATTTGCTTGATCTACCACTATTTTTTAAGCTTTAAATATTATAAGGGGAGATGACATAAATTTTTAGGCCATGACAGTTTTTTGGTAATGAAATGACATCTTTCGACACTATTTGAAAGTGCACCGTACTTTGTGCTTTAGGGCCTCAACCTTGTACAAACTACACCCATTAAATAATCCTTAAGCTTTTTAAGTAGAAGAGAAATGGAGAAGATGCCCGAATGATGGCCTAGTAACATCGAGGTAAAGTACATTCCCAGTTGTAATAACCAAAGCGGCTCACTGTAGAATACCAACGGCAACGGTACGGAGAACATGAAGTCTCCCTCAATGTAAGATGAGACCATGTTTTTCCCCTCAACATTGACTCATAATGAAATTTTTACAAGAAGAATGTATTTACATTACAATACCTGGATGTCGGCATATGAGAAGCCATTGATCAACCATGATGTAAAAAAATAGTCTTCCATGAATATCTGCATAAACAAGCACCTGCTGGATTAGATAACCTTATGTTCCAAGATAATATAATTTTTAGAACATTAAATTAATATTAGCATAACAACATACTCCAGATAATTGATTTACCAAAAAGTGATAAAGATAGATATGAAACTAAACTTTATCACAATGAACGTAAAATATGCTAATATATTAATCATGACCAATCATTCAACACAAATATAACAATATAGATAAAAGCTGAAAGGACCAAATCAAATGCAATGTTTATAAGTAAGAATATATCGCAAGCAACTGAATTATGACCATGATTCAGTATATGATACCTGCTTCCTTCACAGAGACGAGATGAGACTAAGCATGTCACAATCTTAGAACATAACTGAGATTTGAAATAGATGCTCATTAGTAATCCGATCATCACAATTCCATAAACACATATTTGGACAAGAAAAAATAGGGAACAAAAGATGCCAGGCAAAACCACCATAATTTTGCTCAGTCAACAAGCTTAACAGCTTCTCTGCATTTTACAGCCAGTTACCATTAACCTCTGTATTATAAATGTGTTGAGTATGCAACTATCCTACATTGTATTAAAAATGGCATTAACTCATCCCTAGGACAAGAACCTTGAAAGAGAAAAAAAGGACATCAAGCAAATCTATAAGGAGTGGAACTCAGGAAAAAGTTATAAAATCCCCAAAAGGCGTAAGTAGCAAAAGAGAACGTGCCAAGGACAATAGCAAGATAACCATTTTGAAATAAATATCAAAACTACCATTGCACTATAAAACTTAAGGTTAACCAACAGATCATCCTATATGGCATATGTAATAAATATGAAACTATACCCAGTCACCTTTGTTGTCCAATAAAGTTTCATAGGGTGGTTTTCAGTCTTTTGACAGTGGAAAGATACAACAGAAGTGGAAGGAGGACTAGGATTCTAGTGCAGTGAATTTGGTTAAGCAGGGTATGAGGAAGAATATGGATTCAAACATTTTTAAGTATGAAAGGTGAAGAAGAGAGTTAAGGCAGCATCAGGCCAGTTACAAAAGAATTGAGAAAAGATCCTGGATGGATCTCAGACAGTTTAGAGAGTGGCTTTTAGAAGGCATGCAAGCCATGCTCAACAAGGTGACACTTAATTGGGGGAGAATAGATGACAAACCAAGGCAAGGGGAAAAGGATGAGATTCATGGGAGGTAGGAAGAGAAGACTGTAATACATGATCTTCATGATAGCTCACAACCTATACGTTCATATGGAAAATCATGAAAGATGACCCATGAGAAAGTCATAAAATGGTCACAGTTTAGTACACACAACTGAAAGAGACAAGCTAAGGGCCTTAAAACGAAGACAGATAGCAATAATCGATAACATGTGAGATAAGTTCAAGAAAGTTTCTCCAACAAGCTGGGAAGGAAATGAGCATAATGGAGCAGCATCCAACTATTGGGCCATTTGTTTCTAAGAGTTGATTAAATGTATGAAAAATGGCTGAAAAACAGAGGATAGAGAGGGTGTGTGCTTCAATTTGAAAAGATTCACATGAGATTCAAAAGACGAATGCGTAACCAGAGCTTTCAAAGTTTGGCCTCAAGGTTAGAGTGCAGCAACATGCCATAAAATTTTCACCTAAAGCCAATAGGATGCTGATGCACCTCAAAAATAGAGACTATTTTAGAGAGAGAGAGAGGGGGGGGAGAACTCATACAAGAATGCATTTAGTATGGTATCTAATATATACACAATATATTTATAAGACCAAATAACAAAATCAAGTTGGAGAAAGAGTGATAGGGATGAGAGATAAATGGTTAGAAAGAGAAATCACATAGCCATTAAAGAGAAATTGCATAGTACATGGCCATTAAAGAGATATCATATGGTACATGGTCATTAGAGAAAGAGAGATTTAGAGAGAGAAAGGAATGGCTCCAGAATTTAGAGAGAGATTAACATGTAAGAGGAAAATTTCTTACGGAACACCAATTCTCCATTTCATTCATGGTAGACCCCCCTCCCGTTTTTCTTTCAAGTGGCATAAAAAAAACTCCTAAGCGGCGTTTTAAAAAACGCCGAGTCGAACCGGACTCGCCCGGTTCGACTCGGAAATCGTGAAAGGGGACCGGATCGTCTAAAAAATCGGAAATCGTCCGGTTCTAGAGAGAACCGGACGATTCTGTACAGTGAATCGCCGATTCACTGTACGGAATTGGCGAGTTCGAACAGTGAATCGGCGAGTCCGTAAGGAATTTTTTTTTTTTTTTTTT